TTTCAGAATGGCTGCCCAGCATAATTGCCTTGTTATCTTTTTTATCTTTAATGAGCAGTACAGTAGTTGCAAATATTTTCTACAGTCACCATATCTAATAGAATCATGTTGGGTCACTTAATGATGATGTATAGTCCAAGGGAATGGTTTCTGTTTTAGAATAGACTATCCCTTTTCTAACTAAAGGAAATTGTCTTTTGTCTGTACTTAACAAGTGATTTTATTTTTTCCAGATGCAAACTTTCCATGTTCCATCACCATGTATCAAGATGGAAGATTTGACCAGTGGGGTAACAATTGCCCAGGTGCTACACAAGATGTGAGTTTCATGAAGAACCTAGTGGAAGAGGGAAGTGTCTTAAAGCGATTCTCACAAAACCAATGTTGGGGAAGTCTAATAGACAATCCTCAACTAGCCCCTCAATCTCTATTCTCTGTTCCTATGTCTTGCAAACTGCCAACCTGAAAGCACTCAATGAGAGCTCTGAATGCCAATACCAAATTACTTTATTTTGATTATTGACTAGCCTTAAGAAACATCAATAGGTAAAGGTTTCCCTGACCAATCATGTCCAACTCTAGGGGGCGGTGCTCATCTCCATTTCTTAACCAAGGGAGCCAGCATTGTCCAAAAACACTGCTATGATCATGTGGCCAACATGACTATATACTGAACTGCAGGGTGTATATAACAGAAATAAAATATGATAAAAGATAAATCAAAATGAAATAAAAAGATAAACTGAGCATGGCCAGTAAGGTATAACTTTCTTAATAAAGATAAATCACTTTAAACCTTGATATTATTAACTCATTTCAGTGGGGGGGGGCTCTTTGTACATATAGCTAGAAGTAGATAAACCAGATTAAGAGAATGTGTAAACAATAACAGATTTGTTACTAAATGTAGAGCAGGTCAAACTGTTCATAGTCAAATCTTATTTGTTAAACTTTGATGATTTAAGAAACAACTCTGGTTAAGTAAAAGATAATTGTGATTAAAAAGAGGCAGTATGACCTAGGTATTGAGCTAATGGAGGTGTGATAAATGATTCACTTATCTTAGAATTGATAGTAAAAAAAGCCTCTTGTATTAGAGTGTCAATGGTGTTCATTATCTGAAATCTCCCTTTGAGAACCACAATTTGCCTTTATTATAACATAAGAGTGTCATAGTTCTTTGATATATTGGTATGATTATCAGATACAAATACGGTAACAAATTATGATTTATAATCTGGTTGCTATATATCAAATTCAATATTTGTTGTCTGAGGTTTTTCCCAGCGAGACATAACCCATTATTATTTGTACATGAGAAAAGAAGTCATAATAAGACAGCTTCTGTTCCAACCCATTTTTCCACATTGAGATAAAGGAGTCAGCTAAGATACTTGAGACTGTCTTCCCAAAAATTAAACACTCTTAATACATATTTCCTTTTGCACAGTGTATAGCTGGACAGTTTACTGCTAGGTTAGATCTGATCAGACATAAAGCCAACAGCTTGGAAAACAAACGTTCCCATGGTAATGATCTTCTTTGTCATGATGGGATAATGAGGGGAATGTCCTGTTTTTTGGGTGAAAGGCAGGCAGAGCATACGTCTAAGTAACTACTATAAAACCTGTCATCTGGATTTTCTATTGCTTCTGGATCACTGAATACTTGTGAACTGCTGTAAAGAGTTTACTTCCTATCCCATATAAACACAAAACCTTTGCATTTTTCTTTCCCAGAGATCCATCTTGGTTCAATGAAACATGGCTCCTACGGATTAAGGATGACACTGGTGACAATTGGAGACTGAAGGTATATATTGTTATTCAGTAAATTGATGTCCCAAAAGCATTCTTGTCTCAGATATTCTTACCCAGATATTCGGTGTTTGTATTATTTCTAACTATTTATCAGTATTCGGTACATTCTGCAGTTCTTGAACATGACTAATAAAGAGGTTTAACATAAATTTAAGCATAAATATATAACAAGGAAATTATCCATTACTCAACCCTGGATTTATTTTGCTGTGGTATGCTTTTTTCTGGTAAAGCAAGTTTCAAGTCAGCATTGTTAAACCAAATAC